GGGAAAGGTGATTAATGAAGCCCTGTGTGAGGGTGGAGAAGAAGTACTCACCAGTAAGGATGAAAGCTATAGCAATACAGAACGTGAGCAGATAGCCTCACATAGGTTCATGGCTCCTGCCATAGCTTTTCCTAAAAAAGCCAACTACTGGGTACAGTTTATTCTGGCACAACCACTGTAAGAAGGCATGGTGGTCATTGGGGGATGGTTCCAGGAAGAGGGGGAATGATAGCCCCTACTCCTACAGGGAGGCAGGAGCAAGTGAGGAGCACAGAGGAAAGAGTTGAGGGAGCTTACAGGTCTTAACATGAAGAAAGGATGAGAGTAGAGTGTGGTGAGATTCCTGGTAATGTGGGGAGGGAAAACAGGAGGCAGATGGAAGATTGATACCCTCCCTAAACTTTGCCCTGATATACAGGCAGACTTTGAATTTTGCTATGTGAGCTTGGATTGTCTCCTAAACACCAACTAACCACAGTCCTCTCCACCTCCCTAAATCATCATCTAACTCCTGGTTGCTGAGACGGAGCCCTCTTGTACTCCTCCTCAAAAATATACTCTTAGGATGGCCCTAGACTCTATTGCATTTTCTCCTTTTCCCCCAAGCCTCTTGGTAAGATACCAACTAACCTAGAAGACTTTGGGGGTTGAAACAAAACAGGAAAGGGCAGAGGACAGAATGGCACTGAAGATTCCAATAGACTTCAGGGGGATGAAGGCAGAAACCATGCTCATGGCTTGAGGAGAAGAGCAGGCAGAGGCAGAAATCAATGCATTTCAGAAGCAATGCATTCCACTCATATTTTCACCTACCTTTCCTAGAGGTTGCTGGGCATATTAAGTTTTATCCTATTCTTTGAAGATTTTACCCCACCCACATGAATCCCCTTAAGTCATTATTGGTTTTTGAGCATCTCCTCTATGCCAGACAATGGGCTAGGTAAAGTTTATCTCACTGATCTTGCCCCTCTGTTCACTCACCTAGTAGTGATTAGGGAGCCCATACAGGCAAGACCCTTGCCCTTGACAACTGCAGAAATCCTAGCCATATTGACACTCTGGCCCCAGGCAGCTCCCATTCCGCACACCCATGCCAGTCCTATTTCCTGGAGCATCTCCAGTCATACAGGAGCCTGGAAATGAGATTGGGAACACACATTCTTCGTGGGGAGAGAACCCCATCCCAAAGCAGTAGGACTATCTAGGTACCACCAGTGCCAAAGAGGGGAATGGAAGTTTGTGTGTAAGTTGGGGGAGCGGGGGTGGAAATACCAAATTTGATAACCAAAGAACATCATACAATTTGTCAGTGAAATGAGGGATGGGGAGAAATGGTGAAGGAAGGTGAGATGTGAGATTACCTATGTGTAATCTACTCTTGATGTGATTGGTAAAGCCTCTTGCCATTTCATTACCTATGCCCTAGGCCCTCAGGCAGAAACCAGGGCTCTAGGTCATTCTGCACAGAAGGCTGGAGTAGAGGGCCTTGCCAATTGTGGCAGAAATGCACAGGTAGGAAAGTATGTCCACAGGAAGGCAAGGATAGCTGTAGCAGGGTCCCGGAAACAGAAGTTGAACCATTAGTGGCAAGACAAGGCGGGGAGATAACAAGTGTGCTCCGTGCCTGAACATGGTTCTCACCTTGAGGTCTCCAGAGATCCTGGTCTCGGAGTACCCCAGTGGCTGAGGAGAAGGTGGAAAACATGCCAAAGCAACTACCCTCTGGACCTCACCACCATGGGACCATATTTTCAAAGAAAATACTATTTATGTAAAAGAACAGAGAAAAATTAAGTTTTTGAGGGGCACCTCCTAGCTTGCCTTCATTCAGCCAAGATCATTACCCCTTTACCCAGTTTAGTGTCAATGACTTAGGTTAGGCTGGGACAAATAAGGCAAGATTGTAAACTGGCCAGCCCAGGGACTTATAGGTTTCTGAGTGTGATGGTCAACTTGCAAATGTCATACAGAATGTATGTCTTTTCTGAGGAGGCTTGGGCTAATGACATACCCTGCTCCAAGGGGAGGTGACATTCAGAGGCATGCCTTCCCCTTAATACATTTCTCAGCCAGCTTCCCATTGAGTTCACCTAAAGAAACAAGTGGCTTGTAGGCTGGGGTTTCTGGGGAGGAATGGGGGGTTTGTGGCAGATAGTTGATAAAAGAGAGGATCAGGAAGACCATTAAGATCATTTGGGCTGGGAATACTATGGGGGAGAGGGGGAGGAGAAGTATAAATGTAAGGGGAGGAATAACTCCTCCTCCTCCTCCTCCTCACTCTCCTTTCCCATCCTCCAGTTCCCTTTCCCATGAGCCTCTTCCCATAACAGAGTCTAGCTAAAAGGGTAAATCGGTGTCCTTTTCCTTCTTGCCACAAACTACAAAGTGTCCCTTCCCTTGCCAGAGGGATGGCTCTCAAGATTGTAACTATCTGGGAGGAGGAAATGGCATTTCTCATCTGGTAGTCTTGTCTAGTGCTTGTCCCAACAGATCCCTAGAATACGTCCTTGTTTTTCCCTTAAAGAGTTGGTATATGGAGTCTGTTCCAGCAAATTTGTCCAGTTTCAGGTTGGGTCCCTGAGAATCTGCTCTGCCAGCAGGAGCGTGTGTGCACGCACATGCGCGCGCGCACACACACACACACACACACACACACACTTCCACATCTCCCCACGCTGGCCTCTTCCAGATATGTCCAGCTCTCTCCCCCATCCCCAAAGTTCTTACCCCTACCTTGACTCCCTGCCCCCTGCCTTAGACATCCATTCCACACTAGCCATTGCCAGGCACAGAGGGACGGTCATGGTCACCATGCCCACCAAACAACTCATTTTCTGGATCCACCTTAGGCAGCTGCACCCATGCTCCTGGAAGGGCAGAACATAGAGGTAGTGGGTCAGAGAGACTTTATTGACTGATTTGATGCTTCCATCTGATTAAAAAAAAAAAAAAAAACAACTATTAACATTTATTCATTTTACAGAGAGCTTGAGCAAGGGGAGGGCAGAGAGAGAGGGAGACACAGAATCTGAAGCAGGCTCCAGGCTCTGAGCTATCAGCACAGAGCCAATACCGGGCGGAAACTCAGGAGTGTGAGCTCATGACCTGAGCCGAAGTGGGACACTCAACCGACTGAACCACCCAGGCTCCCCCATCTGATTCATTTTTTTTTTTTAATATATGAAATTTATTGTCAAATTGGTTTCCATACAACACCCAGTGCTCATCCCAAAAGATGCCCTCTTCAATACCCATCACCCACACTCCCCTCCCTCCCACCCCCGCATCAGCCCTCAGTAAAATGACTTGCCCAGGCTGGAGTCACAAAAAGTGCAGGCTGGTGGTGAGCCAACTTGGGAAAAGGGCATATCAAGGGAGGGGATGGGCATTGTCCTGAGCAGGTTTGAAAGGACTTCTGTGAAGCCCACCGTGTGCACAGCCATGACTAAGGCATTGGCGAAAGTGAAGATGATCCTGATGGAAACGCCAAGCTTTGGACTCAGGCTGCGCGAAATAAGGAAGTGCGTGCCACCTGAGGGGAGAGGAAAGAGGAGCCGGTCAAGTCTCACCCCTCCCTCACGTGAACACCACCCTCTCACAGAGTCCTAAGGAATAATCGTTTGCTCCCCGGTTAAGTCAGCTTGTCGGGCCAATCCATCCAGACTGGACCAATCTTTTTATAGGCCAGAGAATCCACCCCCAGCAGCCCCCTGGGCCTGTCCCACCTTACCAGGAGAGGGGAGGGAAGTGGCATCGCTGTCCCATTCCCTTTCTTCCCCCACGAGAATACCTAGAAAGGCAGCGAAAAATGCCCGGATTTGGGGCGGGGTGTGTCTCAGGATAGGAAAGAGGTGTTATCCTGGGCAGAGGGAGTGGCTGTTGGTGTCCTACCTAAGTGAGAGTGCTTACTCGCCCCCCCACACACCCCCGCCCCAGCCCATCCAGTCCAGGATTTTGGTCCCCGCAGCCTTGGTCACCCCACTTTCCACTGATCCGTCCTCATCCCAGAGATCTAGGTGAGGGTTAGACTCCTCCAGAATTCCTGAACACACAGGGTTGGGCCTTTCTAGCTCACCACCGACCCCACCTGGGGACAGGGAGGAAATTCCGAGCCGGGGGTGTTTTACCTACGGTACGTAGCCCTGATCCCTTCCCCTTCCCGCTCGCCCTCGGTGGACTCAACTGCGTTATGTGTGCATTTCATGTAGGTATTGTTCGCTCCAGGGTCGGCAACTTTATCGTGCACAGAAAAACCAACAGTCAAAGCCTAGAACTGACTCCAAACACACCCTTCCCTCTTCTGGCCCTACGTTCCGGAGGGTCTGCGCAGTCCAGACTCTCTTCTCCCTCCCCGCCGCTCCCCCGGCTTCACAGGGTTCACAGACCCGTCTTGTGAACGCAGCCTTTCCGGCCTGGCGCACTCCACCCGATCCCCACATCCTCCCTGGCTTCTGAATTTGCCTCGCTCAGCACAAGGACGTGACCTACAGGTGGAAGGGGGGAGGAGGTCATCTCGGGACGGAGCCCGGGGGATTGGGTGTCAGAGTCTGGGCTCCCGGAGCCCAGCCCCCTAGCCGGTCAGCGCCGGCTATAATTAGTCGGGTGGGGCCGCTGACCCGATTGAGGGGCAAGTTTCCTCTGTCACAGGGTCCAAAGCGAAGCGGAGAAGGTTCAAGGGAGAGCCAGGAGGAACGCTGGTGTCTAGGGAGGGTGACTATCCGGGTGGGACGGGGGCAGGCCGGGTGGCATACGGTCCCGGGTACTGGATCGGTACACATGCTTCTGGCACGCTTCGGCGCTCTTCGTGAACCCCAGTGTTGGGCAGTATAGCCTAGCTGCTCGAGCCTTGGGAAGGGGGTGGGGAGTGGGCTTTGAAGTAGGGAGAGGGACTGCCATGTCGCCGGGCTGGAGATAGGGGTTCCTCCGGCCTCTGTGGGTCCAGCTCTGAACCCCCCACCCCTTCCCTCTGTTCACCTGTAGCAAAACAGCGAACCTGGACGATGAGCGTCTCGGACTCCTCACATCGTCCTTCGGACCCTGGGAGCGTCTCTGCTCCCGCCCAGAAGGACCGCCTTGACCTACCTTTGCCCGACCCGAGAACCCCCTCCTGGCCACCTTCCCCAGATGAGGATCCCAGTTTGCCCCCCTTTCCTTTGGAAGAGCCTGTCCCCAGGCCCATGGCCCCAGGGAGCCTTCCCTCTCCAGTCTTGTCCCTTGAGGAAGAAGAGGAGGAAGACGACCAAGATGAACAAGACGCGGCAGAGCCCGAGGAGCTGCGCAGCGAGGAACATCCCAGCCAGTTTTTCGCGGAGGCACAGCGGCTGCGGGAGCAGAGGTTGTTGTTGGACGAAGAGGTGTCAGTTGAGGGGCGAGTATACGGGGTGCATCGGGTAATCTTGGCTGCAATTAGCAGCCTCTTCCGTGACAGGCTGCTGGGTGGCAGAGGTCCACGACCCCCCCTCAGCCTGGACGTGGCCGCCGGGGCCTGGGAGGCCGTACTGACATTTGCCTATGAGGGGTTGCTGGGCCCTGCACGGCTGGGAGATGTGCTGGTCGTGGCAGAGGCCCTGGGAGCGCCCCGGGTGAAGGCCGTGGCCCAGTGGAGATGCAAAGGGGCTGGAAGCGCCAGGGAAGATGAAAAGCAGCCCAGCCAGGCAGAGGAGCTGAGGGAGAACCTGCGGAGCATTGAGCTCCTATACCAAGAGGGCATCGGGTGTGACCTGGAGCTGGAGGCAGGCGGCTGCAGGCTGCGGGGTGAGGGCCTTTTGGCATTACATTACTGCAGGTTCATTTATGTGTGTGCAAGCTGCAGGTGGTTTGATCCCTTCCATTGTGGTTTTGATCCCAGCTGCAGGCAGAATATCCTTGGGGTTGGCCTTTGGTGCCTTTCCTGACCCACTGAGAGCAAGGCATGAGCAGTTGAGTTGTTTACCCAGGAGCACCAGGCAGACTTAAGCTGACCCTTCAACCTGTGGCTTTCCCTGTGGCCAGTACCAAAGAATTTCCAGCCAGTTGGCTGGTGTCATGAGTACAGTCTGAGCCAGGGGAACAAGTAGAAAGTGATTGACTTAAACAGGAATTAACCAAAAGCTCTTCTTGGCATCTTCTATTTAGGACACAGGAAAGCCAGATGAATATGGTGGAATAACTCACAGTGTGTCCTCTCACCTAATTGTCCTTGACTCCATGGTAGATACGGGTTCTACAGCTAACGAGCAAGGTCTGGTTTCGTTTTGCCATAATCTTAAAGCTACCAGGACCTGGCACTTTGAAGTTAACTAGGCTCATCACTAGGAAAGCTAAGGAGGGTTGAATAAGTTGAGTGTTATTCAGATTCTATCAGTACTAAGTGAGGTACTGGGGTCCAGGAATTTTTACACATGCCATGTCTTTTCATTCTCGCTGAAAACTAGTGAGGTGGATGCCACTATCCCTAGGTGTAAGGAAAGAACATTAAACTCAGAAATGTTAACTGGTGAGAACCAGGATATAAGCCCAGTATTCACTAGCCCAGTCTGTTTTCACTAGGCCATGCATTGCCTCCTGTGCAACCAAACCAAAGACACAGGATCTGACAAATGGAGTTGGAATGCAGGCACACAAAAATGTTAAATTAAAAGATATTGCTTTAGAGAGTATCTAGTTCAGCTTTTATACTTTATTGACAAAGAAATCAGACTTCAAGACATGTCCAAAGTCACATAGCTATTGCTCATTAGAATGACTGGAACCCACAGTGTTTCTGGGACCCCCAGATGAAAAAGCATCCTGTCTTAACTTGAACTGCATTAACAAAAATACCATAGACTGGGTGGCTTGACAACAGAAATTTATTTCTTTTTTAGAAAAATGTATTTATTTAAATTCAAGTTAGTTAACATACAGTGTAGTATTGGTTTCAGGAGTAGAACCCATTGATGAAATTTATTTCTTACAGTTCTGAAGCCTGGAAGTCCAAGATCAGGGTTCTGGTATGGTCAGGTTATGATTAGGACTCTCTTCCTGGCTTGCAGAGGGCCACCTTCTCACTGTATCCTCTTCACTTGGTGGAGGGAGAGATTATCTCAGTCATATCTCTTATATAGGGCAGTAATTCCATTCAGGAGGGTTCTACTCTCATACCTAATTACCTCCCAAAGGCTCCACCTGCAAATATCACCACACTGGGGAGTAGGGCTTCAACACAGGAAGGAGGGAGGAAGACATAAACATTCAATCCATAGCAGGTCTCTAAAGTGTTTGTTATTATTTCTGATAGTAGTAGATGGAGGGGGGATTTAGAATTTCATAGTTATGGGGCACTTGGGTGGCTCAGTCGGTTAAGCATCCGACTTTGGCTCAAGTCATGATCTCGTGGTGAGTTCGAGCCCCACATCAAGCTCTGTGCTGACAGCTCCAAGCCTGGAGCCTGCTTCGGATTCTATGTCTCCCTCTCTCTCTGCCCCTCCCCTGCTCACACTCTGTCCGTCTCAAAAATAAACAATAATAAATTATTTAAAAAATAGATAAAATAAAATTTCATAGTTATAAAATTCTCACTAGGGTTTCAAATTTAAACATACTTCTATCCTTGCTTTCATTTTCCTAAGAAACATTCCAACGTAATGGTGGAAACCTGTCACTTAAAATTCTAGGGAATAATGATGAGGAGGAGGGAGAATGTAAGTAGTTGTGACCCTTTCACAGTGACTCTGAGCTATAGGTTGGTTGATTACATGGAAAATGAAATGGCTTACCTGCTTCAAGGAATGCAGGTTTTCTCAGGCAATATGTATCTGAAAACTGTCACTGATAGTTACTATTTGGGAAGCATGTAGGCACTACCTGCTGCTTAAAACGACAATGGAGGAGCACCTGGATGACTCAGGGGGTTAAGCATCTGACTTCAGCTCAGGTCATGATCTCATGGTTTGTCAGTTCAAGCCCTACATTGGGCTTTCTGCTCTCAACACAAAACCTGCTTCAGATACTCTGTCTCCCTCTTTCTCTGCCCCTCCCCTGCTCTCTCTCTCTCTCTCTCTCTCTCTCAAAAATAAATAAACATTTAAGATGTTTTTAAAAAAGACAATGGAAAGCCACATTAACATCACATGTCCTTTGTTCATAGCTTCACTGGGTGTTTGGCCCTGGTACCTGCCTAAGAGGACTTCTGGCAGCATTTTCTCCCTTTTTTATTATGAAGCATTTCAAACACATAGCAAATTAAGAAAATATTTTTTAAGTTTATTTATTTTGAGAGAGCGAGAGAGAACACAAGCAGAGGAGTAGCAGAGAGAGAGAGAGAGAGGGAGAGAGAGAGAAAATCCCAAGCAGACTCTGCAACGCAAGGCTCAAACCCACAAACTGTGAGATCATGACCTGAGCTGAAATCAAGAGTCGGATGCTTCACTGACTGAGCCACCCAGGCACCCCAAGAAAATATTAACATGAACACTCAAACACCCATATCTCAGACTTAACAATTAACATTTTATTATATTTGTCTCATCTCTTTACTTATCACTGAAGTTTAAAGTAAATCTGTGACATTTCCCTTACAAATACTTGGGTACATGTCTCTTTAAAAGAGGACATATAACCACAATACCTTACTCATGTCTAACAAAATTAACAATAATTCCTTAGTATCACCTCCTCCAAGTTGAAATTTTCCCACTTGTCCAAAAAATGTCTTGTAGAGCTGGCTTATCCAACCCAGGAGTCAATCAAGGACTATGCTGTACTCAGATACATGTCTTTTAAGCTTCCTTTACTCTTGTACAGTCCTCTCCTTTTTTATGACTTGACTTACTGAAGAAATAAGATTAGTTATCTTATAGAATGCTCCATTTTCTAGATTTGTGTGTGTTTTCCATTATGGTTTTGTTTAGCTTGTTCCTTTAGCTTCTCAATTTCCTATAAATTTGAATTTAGATCTAAGGGTTCAATTAGATTGAGGTTCAACAGTTTAGTCAGAATACTCCATACCTGATGCCAAGTATCTCAAATTGCATTACATTAGAAAGCATTTATTTACATTTATATTTAATAGCATCCGGTAACAGAATAGTTTCAGTGGCGTGAGGGCCATGCAGGTAAGAAGGGTACCGATACACAAGTATGCTCACTGCAGCCTGACATCAGTGGCGTTGGGGGGTGAAGATCTGCTCGGGCAGCCATTACATGGAATAGAAAATAAATCACTTCCTCTCTTTCAGTTTCCTTCTGTTAAAAGGAGCAATCGAACTGGATGATTTTGAAGGTTTCCAGCTTAAAATGTCACAATTACCTGAAATGTACTGAGATGAAGATGGGGTGTGCAGAGAAAAGCTGCACATGGGAAATCTTAAGCAGGAGATGGCAGTTAGATTAGGTTAGGTCACAGAGATTCGTAAGTGTGGTACCATTTTTTTTTAAGCAAAATTTTTAACATTTATTTATTTTTGAGAGACAGAGACAGAGCATGAGTAGGGGAGAGCCAGAGAGAGAGGGAGACCCAGAATCTGAAGCAGACTTCAAGCTCTGAGCTGTCAGCACAGAGCCTGATGCAGGGCTCGAACCCATGAACTGTGAGATCATGACCTGAGCCAAAGTGGGGCGCTTAACTGACTGAGCCACCCAAACACCCCGTGTGGTACCATTTTCTAAGTAAAATCCTGGCCGATGTCAGTGGCTCTTACAATTGTAAATAACTTTTTTGTGTGTGCATGATAGAGACCTATGTAATTTTCACCATTGGTCTTTGCAGTTTATTTTGTGCCCCCTTTTAGCAAAAGCTGTCTATAGCATCTACTCAACTTGATCAATCAAGACTCTTTTTCTAATTGACCTGGATCAAAAAACTAAAGCAATGTTTATCACAGTGTCTTCAGGCCACTAACATGAAAATCAAGCAGGGTGCTTGAAAATGTTGAAATACAAATTCCTAGGGTCTCCATCCAGACCTACTGAATCAGAATCTCTGGGGGTGGGTCCCTGAAACCCGCAGCTTAACAAGCACCGCACGGTATTCTGATGCACACCATGGTTTAGCCTGTGGCCTTGGGTGGTTGGCCCAAAGTCGGGGATGTGAAGTCAGCAGGGTGCCTGGCAATCAGCAACACTCTGGATTCCCCTCTGCTTCTCCTTGCAGTGCACCGAGCAGCCCTGGCCTGTGGCAGCGAGTTCTTTGGTGCCATGCTCCTGAGCGGGATGAGGGAATCCCAGGGCACAGAGGTGTCTCTGCACACTATCTCTGCCCAGGACCTGCGACTCCTCGTCTCCTTCGCCTACTCCGGGGTTGTGCGGGCAAGGTGGCCAGGACTGCTGAGAGCTGCCCAGGCTGCTCTCCAGTACCAGAGCTCTTCCTGCCTTGCTCTGTGCCAGAGAGCCTTGGCTCGGGGCCTCAGCCCCGCACGTTGCCTGGCCCTGTTCCCCATAGCGGAAGCCCCGGGCTTAGAGAGGCTCTGGAGCAAAGCCCGTCACTACCTCCTCACCCACCTGCCTGCTGTGGCTTTGTGCCCCACTTTCCCTTCTCTACCGGCTGCCTGCCTGGCTGAGCTCCTGGATAGCGACGAACTACACGTGCAAGAGGAGTTCGAGGCCTTCATGGCTGCGTGGCGTTGGTTAGCTGCCAACCCTGAGACCCAGGAGTCAGAGGCCAAGGCCCTGCTTCGATGTGTTCGCTTCGGCCGCATGTCCACCAGAGAGCTGCGGAGGGTGCGGGCCGCGGGGCTGCCTCCACCCCTGACCGCGGACTTGCTGCATCAGCTCCTGGTAGAGGCTGCCGTTCCAGGTCAAGAGCGGCGCAGGGAGCCTGACCAGGCACTGGTAGTGATTGGCGGGGACGGGCTCAGAGCAGACATGGCCATAAGACAGCCGTCGCGAGGAGTGTGGTGGGCGCGCGCCTTCTGCTGCGGCACGGGACTGGTGCGAACCGTGGAGTGGGGGCGGCTGCCTGCCCTGCCTGCCCCGGGGCGCTTCCGGCACGGGGCTGCGAGCCTCGCAGGAAGTGAGCTCTACGTGTGTGGGGGACAGGATTTCTACAGCCACTCCAACACCCTGGCTTCGACTCTCAGGTAGGGGCCCCACGGAATAGCAGGCCCCGAGGTGGGCAGCTGAGGGGGAATTGTTGGCCCAGCCAGCCACGGGGCCCCGGGGTCACTCTTCTTTGGTCCCGCTGTGTCCAGGTGGGGCCCCAGTCAAGAGGACTGGGAGGAGATGGCGCCTTTGTGCCAGGCTCGGAGCTTTTTTCCCCTGGTGGCGCTGGACGGACTACTTTATGCCCTGGGCGGCCGAAACGGTGGCGTCGCCCTCAACTCTGTGGAGACCTATCACCCCGAGCTGAATGTCTGGAGGTGAGCAGGGAAGGGGCTGTTTCTAGACATCAGGGAAAGCCTAGAGGACTCGGAGGAGGAGAGTTGAAGAGGATTTTTGCCTGATCGTGTGCCCTGTTCTCCCTTAGGCCGGCACCTGCTCTTCCAGCACCACGCTTTGCCCACGCAGCTGCGGTTCTGGAGGGCCGATTGTACGTGAGCGGTGGCTGCAGCGGGGCTGGCCAATACCTGGCCTCATTGCTGCACTATGACCCCAAACTTGAGAAGCCAGGGGTGCTTCTGAGCGCTATGGGGGTACCTCGGGCTGGCCACGTCATGGCCGCTCTGGGTGGACGGTTGTATGTCGCGGGTGGGCTAGGTGAGACTGGGGACCTGCTGAGCTTCGAGGCCTATGAACCAAGGACTGATAGCTGGACTCACCTGGCACCCTTGCCCTCCCCCCATGTGGGGGCCGCAGGGGCTGCGCTGCAGGGAGAGCTTCTGGTGCTGGGGGGCTACAGCCACCGTACTTACGCCCTCTCCCACCTTATCCATGCATATTCTCCCGGCCTGGGCCGATGGCTCTGCCTGGGAACTCTGCCAAGGCCTCGGGCTGAGATGCCTGCCTGCATCCTGACCCTGCCCACTGTGCAGCACATAGCTTTGGTTCCCACACGGCACCAAACCAAACCTGCTGGGTGAGTGGGGAGCGGCGGTGCATGGAAGGAGGAAGGGATGAGAAACGTCATGAGAGAAGGACAGAGATTATGGGGGGAGAAAGAGAAGGCTTGATTCATGATAGCATCTTATTCCAGCACAGTGTTTTACAACTCACAAACCGCTTTTGTATATATGGTCTTCATTGAGGAAAAGGTGGCTCCAGAATTCCTGGAAAACGCTGTTGGAGAAGGGAAGGAGAGGAGGCCCAGGAACAACTCCACAAGGTTTAGGGACCCTGACACCATTCTTGCTGGGGAAAGTGCATTTGGCTGGGAAGACAGTCAAGACGCTCCAGTAGCCAATGTGTAGGGGCCAAGAGAGGAGAGTCAGAAAAATGATGATTCTGACCCATGGATCAAGATGAAAAATGTGGAAAGGCCAACCATGAACTATATTCTTTCTCAGGTAACTTGCAGGCTCAGTCCAGCATTGCCTCAGCCTGCAGCCCCTAAGAGCCTCTGGGTTTTCATTCTGAGGCGGAAGTCCTTGCCTGGACCTGGCGCTGCACAGGGTGCCAGCTGATGAGGCGCGAGTGCTGTGTGTGGGGAAGATGAGGAGGGCGGAGGTGAAGGAGCCAGGCACCTGGAGTGGGGAAGGGATGGCATGAGGTTTGAGGGGTGGGGTGGAAGAAGCCAGAAGCCTGACTGGCTTCTTTCCTTCCCTTTGGGGTGTAGTCAAGGATTAGGAATGACAATAGGACAGCTATGGTGTGAGCTGCTAAGTTGTGAGAGGAAGTGGCAGAGAGAAAAGTGAGAGGCAGAGAAGACTCAGAAAAGTGGTTTTCCCCCTTTCTTTCCCTTTTCTCTAGAGTTTTAAAAATCCATTTCCGCCCCCCCCTTTTTTTTTTGGCCAGGCGAAGTTAAATCAGACGCTTCCTCTCTTCCTTCTTCCACCCTGCTCTTCCTTCCTTTTCTTTCCCCCCTTCTTTCTTTTCTCCCTTCTCCCACACAGTGATCAATCACCTACTAGGTGCCAGCACTAAATGAGGCTCTAAGGATACAAAGATCAGAGAGGTCCCAACCAGCGGGTAGACTTGTAAACTAATGCAGGTTTTGTAGTGGACTTAGGGGTATGGACACTTACCTCGTCGCTCTCACACCAGGCACTTAGAGGTATGACAGCCCAGACACTGGAGGAGTGAACTCTGCCCAGGGAAGGCTCCTGTTAAGGAAGGCATCATCAAATGGGTATAGTTGGGGTTGGATTTTGAAGACTACTTGGAAACTCACCAGTCAGAGCAGAAGGAAGGCACTCCAGTCAGAGAAAAGAAGTCATGTCGTGCCCTGTGTCTCTATAGCAAAGGGGAAGTCAGTATTCCAGAGGATTCTTTAGAGAATTCTGCTGCTGTTACCAGCCCATCTTTTACTCTGGAGCTTTTCTGAAGACAATAGCTTTCGCTTAATTGTATATTCCCTCCCTCCACAACTCCTCTAAGTCTTTCCTGCCTGGTATTTCCATTTCTGACCCCTGAGCAGCTCAGGGCAAAGAAGGGCCAGTTCTTTGTATAGGTCAATTTTCTATTACCATTGTTTGTTAAGATTCTCATATTCCTAAGGGTGAGATAAAGGAGACTCCTTTCTACATTTCTTCATCCTGGCCTAGAGGTGTTCACATGCTTTATTTTTTTGAGATTTCATTATTGAGTTCTTTTTTCCCCTATATCTCTGTTTCGGAGCATAGATGAAAATGAGGAGGGATATATAGGATGTATTTGAGAAAAGGGAAGAAAAATTGAAGAACCAGGAAAGAAGGAAATTGAAGGTACTGAGACACTATGAATATGCAGTCTTTAAGATTAACTTCTATGAACATGTTCTTTGTGGTTTGGAGGCAAAAACAGCCTTAAATAAAGGTTTCATCATTGTTGAATGATTCTCGTCTGAGTTTCTCTAATATAAAAAGTTCTTTAAAATCCCCTGTAATTTGGTTCCTATCTCCACCACAGTACTGAAACTACCCTGCCTCGTCGTCACCATGACCTACTTCTCACCAAATAATCTAAGGCCATCCTCATTCTCCTTCATCTTTCTGCAGGTATCAACTGGCTTGAAAACTGACTCTTACCCTAAAAAATTTCTCCTCCCCTGGCTCCAGAGAGCACACTCTCCTGGGCCTTCTCTTATTTCACCAATCCAAACGGGTATCAAAAAAACCAAATAATATTGTCCAAAGGAATGGCTCCATCCCAGGTGGAGGTGACAGCTTGAGGGTCCAAAAGTATACAGATGGGGGTAATTAGTTATAGAAGTCTCTAGCTCTCCTTATTTAGTTTTTAGGGTTTATTTTTTAACTTTTTAAAAAAATTTTTGAGAGACAGAGACAGAGCATGAGCAGAGGAGGGACAGAGAGAGAGAGAGAGAGAGATGCAGAATCCAAAGCAGCCTCCAGACTCTGAGCTGTCAGCACAGAGCCCGATGCAGGGCTTAAACCCATGGATGTGAGATCATGACCTGAGCTAAAGCCAGATGCTCAACCGACTGAGCCACTCAGGTGCCCCTCATTATTTAGTTTTTAAAGTAGGGATAGAGTGAGAAGACAGAAGGAGGCCTCTGATTTGTAGCAGGACACCAGTCAACAGTCCACTCTTCAGTGAGAGAGGACTGATATAGGGCAAGTAACAGGTTGGGGCCCTAGCCAAGTGGTCTGAGATTCAAAGTAGTATTGCAACCCCAGAACAGAAGAGGAAGGAGAAACAGGAATCAGGCTGGAAAACATTCACACAGAGTGGGCAATCATGGCAATCCAGGGATTAGGCTACAGTTTGGTGAGCGTATAGAGGCCCAGGATTCTTACCTTTGGTACATCAGATGATAGGCAAGGTGTTTTGTTTTTTTTTATTAATTTTTTTAACGTTTCTTTATTTTTGAGAGACAGAGCACAAGCGGGGAAGGGACAGAGAGAGAGATGCAGAATCTGAAGCAAGCTCCAGGCTCTGAGCTTCTCAGCACAGAGCCCAACGCGGGGCTCGAACCTACAAACTGCAAGATCACAACCAACCTGATCCAAAATCTGACGCTCAACCAACTGAGCCACCCAGGTGCCCCAGAGGCAAGGTGTTTTAGATATTCCCCCTACTAGTTCCCTCTACGCTCTTCTTTCAACCTCCTTTGTGAGTGAGGGAGGGATTTCTACTATTGCTCACATCTTTTCAAGAGTGACTCAGGAACTGAATAGGATTGAGCAAGTGGGCTGATGTACCAGTAAATGCATTGGACTACCTGAGTCCTTTGTCTCCTGTGCCTCATTATAGATTGCCCATGTTCTTCTCTTACCTTGTTTTATGTTCCTCTTCAGACAGCTCACCTCCATCTAAAGTTGTAATAACTCACCTGGGTTCTAGACGATTGCTTTTTTCAGCATTCCTCACCTCTACTTGGATGTACCACTATCATGACTTCAGACTCATCAAGCTTCGTTGACACTCTCATTTTCCCTTTTTCCTAGACACAAAGCTTTGAAGTCATTTAGGCTTGTTTTCCCCTTATCTTTCTTCTTCACTTGACTCATATGTGATTTTGAACTGCTGAAATAGAAACGTAACTGGTTTCTTGTCCCAATATTTTCTCTGTCAAATACACAACATGTATGATGCTTTGGACACCTGGAAAGTTGAAGGCAGCAAAGGGTTAACAATGAAAAAAAAAGGGGGGGGGGAGGGTGAAAGATCCTACTAGCTACAAAACCATGTATCCTTATTTACCCAGATGGTCTGGACTGTAGAAGCAACAGTGTCCAACCAGAAGAGTGAAATATTGCACAGAAAGATTATTTAATAGAATCATGGAATGAAGAGATGTTAGAAATCATGTAATTCAAACCCTTATTTGTAAAGTGCAAAGAGCCAAGGAATGTGGCACAGTCTGGATAATGAAGAGGAAAGTCTTTTGTGAGAGCAGTTTCCAGGTGACATATCTTTACCTAAGAATCAAGTGGTTGGCTTGAACAAGCATCATGGTTTCAGTCTATAGTCAGGAAAGTCCTAACACTCTTTCAGGGCCACAGGCTATTTATATTCCAAATCCTGGCTAACCCTTGGGATCAAGGGGCTATAAGTGGAAAAGTGTGAATTTATCACAGGTCCTAGCAATACAAAAAAATACATACATGCAGGGATATAGTATATGTCGTTAGCCATGAGATTATAGTCTTTTTTTCCTCAGAGATAGATGTTCATGGTATTATTGTTATAGTTGATGATTCAAGATATAATCATCTGTATTTGTGATTAGAATGATGGAAAAAAGGTACAGCTTGAAAGCATATTGAATTAGAATCAGTAACTTGGGTTCGAGCCCCAAATCAATTACTGTTTTGGTAATCGTAAATCCCTTAATCACTTTGAATGCCAGTATCTTAATCCATAAAACAGGAAGACTAGCTGTACTATAAACATCAGAGTGCTGTTATAGTTGTGAGCCCCGGAGCCTGGGACAGTCTTAAGGAACTCTAGGCACATTTAGAAAAGTATGCTCTGGTAGTCCTTAAGTGTGCCTTGATAGTTCCAAGGCCACATCCTTTTATTTTTTTATTTTATTTTGTTTTTTCAATACACAAAAATCTGTTGCATTTTTATTTTTTTTACATTTTATTTTTTTTTAATTTACATCCAAATTAGTTAGCATACAGTGCAACAATGATTTCAGGAAGAGATTCTTTAGTGCCCCTTACCCATTTAGCCCATCCCCCCTCCCACAACCCCTCCAGTAGTCCTCAGTTTGTTCTCCATATTTATGAGTCTCTTCTGTTTTGTCCCCCTCCTGGTTTTTATATTATTTTTGTTTCTCTTCCCTTACATTCATCTGTTTTGTCTCTTAAAGTCCTCATATGAGTGAAGTCATGATATTTGTCTTTCTCTGGCTGACTAATTTCACTTAGCATAATACCCTCCAGTTCCATCCACGTAGTTGCAAATGGCAAGATTTCATTCTTTTTGATTGCCAAGTAATACTCCATTA